CGGGATTGAGCAGGGCGTGCACCTGTTTGCCTGATCCTTCGCTTTCTTCTCCGTCGGACACCTCGCCTCGCCTCCTTCCTCTTGTCCGCTATCTGGTGTAGATTCTGTTGTGTCGAACTCTCCTGTCCTTGCCGCCACTGCCCTCACGTCGCCTCCTCCCACTTGCCCGTCCTCTGTTGTCCCTTTTGCTGTGGCTATGACCCACCACGTTGGACGATCCCCCGCTCTCCTCTGACCGCCTCCTCCCGCTTGCCCGTCCTCTGTTGTCCTGCCACATCGGACGATCCTACGCCCTCCTCTGACCGCCTTGCTCGCCGTTGCTCGCCCCACCCCGCTTTTTCCCCCCACTCGATATCTTGTCCTCCACTTGTCCTTACAGCTTAGATCTCGTCGCCTCCTTCCCCCAGCCCTCTATCTAATGTTGACATCTCGTGTCGATCGTGCTTTGTGTCGCACTTCCTACCACTCTCCTGCCGCCGATCCCTCTTCCTTTGGCGCCAATCCCTCTTCTTTTAGCCTGCCGCCCCTGCTCATGCCCGAAGTCTGTGCTTCTCGTCGCGTCCTACCACCTGCCACGCCGCAACCTCTCCTTTTGGCTATATCGAGGGTCGCCTCCTTCACTCGTTTGTCAAGCTTTCATTCACCCCGTGTTTCGCCTCCCTCCTCCCTACCTTCTGCCACCGCACTTCTCTTGTTTGATCACGTCCCACGCACCTGTTTCGCTTCCCTCCTCCCTACCTTCAGCCCACGCACTTTTCTTGTTCGATCGCGTCCCACGCACCTTAGTTGGCTTTCTCCTCCTCGTCCCCGTGTGTCTCCTGTGTCACGGTCGTCTCGTACCTTGTCACTCCCGCTTCGAGGGTCGCCTCCCTCACTCCTTGGTTATGCTTTGTGAAGCTTTCGTTTACCCCGTGTAGCGCTTCCCTCCTCCCTGCCTCCCGCCCACGCACTTCTCTTGTTCATATAAACGATCTCGTCCCACACACCTTAGATGACTTTCTCCTCCTCGTCCTCGTGCGTCTCCCGTGTCGCATTCGTCCCGCTCCCGGTGGTGCACTTCGGTGTTGACAAGAGGCTCTCTCCACTTCGGCCCCACCGGTCGACAGTTGTAGCCGTGAATGCCACGTGACGAAAACGTAGCGCCTATGGAGCCCAACGTGGAACCTTCCTGCTGAAGGTCAGGCTGCATATGCACGTCAGCTCGTGACGTGCCGCAGCCTAGCGCCCATGTCCCACCGCTCGTGCACGAAGCGCCCCCTCACCAACAGAAATGTTGCCACCCTGGAAAGTTGATTTGGTTCCCGGGGCGAGAGATCCGGGACTACCACTTGCGGAAAATATGGCCCCGTACGGCGTTCACCTCTCTCTCTTTTTCTTTTTCTTTGTCTTTTTCTTTTTCTTTTTTCTCTTTTTTTTTTTTTTTTTTTTTTTTAAATCTCTTTCCCCCCCCCCTTTTTTTCGTAAACACCACGCTTGCTCCCATCCCCGAAAAACACCACGCTTACTCCCATCCCCATGAGGCCGCACGAAACGCCGCCTTCCTGGACAGGATTCCTCGGGCGCGAACCTGAAAATTCAGGTACTGGCATGTGAAATGACCCGCCCACCGCATCGTCACTTCCCTGTCTTGAGAAGACACACTAGGAAGGGGAGCACACCACATACTGGAAAAGCGGGCCTACACATGGTATAGGAACTACTTAAGCACGAAAGGGGCTGTCACTATTCACAAGGCATGGGTTGTGCTTGAGTAGAGGCACGGGAGAATACGAATAGCGATGCACCGACTGCAGATAGCTGCTACCGTGGGGTTGGGTGGGGGTAGGGGCGATTCCGGCGAAGGTGGTGTACAGTGGGTTGGTGTGGTATCAGCTTGACTGGCTGGGTGGTAGGGCGGTGATCTCCCCTGTTTCGTCAGAGCGGCCTGCGAGCGGCGATGGATTTCCCAGTGAATCTCAACTACATCCAGGAGCAGCCACAAGAGGAAGACACGGTATACTTCTGACTGGGCGACTCCATCGCCAAAAACTCTACGTTCTCCGAGTCTAAGCGGTCATGCCCCCCTCCCTGGAGCTGAACGCTTCCCTCCTCCCCCCGTCTATCTCGGTCTCTCCGTCTATTCCCCTGCGCAGGCCCCGTGCTGCTACATCTTCCTCGTCCAGCTCACCCCCTTCTGTGATTCCAAGTATGGATAAAGGTGGGGGGGCGCAGGATGCTCCTCCTCGTCGGTCGGCGGATGGGAGGGAAGACACTTGGGAAATAATTGCGTTTTGCTTTGCGGCCTTCCTAGCGCTACTTGCTCTTTTAGCTTTTCTCTTCTTCATCCACTCCCTCCCCGTGCAACCCCCTCCAGCGCATACCCGGACTGATTGTGATTGCAGGTTACCCCTCTGATGAATCGCGTGGCAAGTGATGAAAAGCGCTTAAGGGACTGCCACCCCCTCCTGCATGTGTGTAGACTGACGGCAACTGGCTTGCACTTTCATGCCTTGCTGGACTACGATGCATGCACTATGGCTTTCCACCCCCCTACCTTCTATAGAGCCCTGTGGAAGTAGGTTGTGCCTTTAGTCTGGCAGCATTATGGCCCTCTCGACGGTAAATTGAGTTACTGGATATGGGGGTGATGACTTGCGGGATGCAGGGTCTTGTAAATTTTTGACATTGGGTTTGGACGTACTCAAGCCGGGATGGCTATATTGTCCTAAATTTGGTACGAGAGTTAATCTCATGTTTTGATTGCTTGACCTTCTGTTTTTTTTCAAAAAAAACTTTTTTTCTTTCTTTTTCTTTTTTCTTTTTTCTTTTTTCTTTTTTCTTTTTCCCTTTTTTCTCTTTTTTCTCCTTTTTTCTCTCTCTCTTTTTTTCTGTTTTTTCTTTCCCCCTTTTTTTGGATGATCATTTTCCCCGAATCATAGGTAGTTCAAACATTTTTTTTAACTATGGTTGTTCGATGAGTGATCACGACAAACCTTCATGTGTTATGTACTGATGATGGTGGCATCGCTCATCGTCACGCAGAAACATATCCATGGGGTGTAGTATCTGCATCTCTGTTGCTAGGAGAACATGATGCTCCACCAGTGCAGCGATCCTTGAAATGATTGTTGCATTCCAGATTGATTATCCTTTSCCCACATTATTGCCTATATATTTTCTTTGAAATATCGTGTATGATGTTCAGTCCGATCGTCTCTCTAATTCCTTTCTGATTTTTCCCCCAGGGGAATCGTGTTGCCCAATGCAAACTTCCCATCACGATATGTGATTGCAATGCGCAATAGCCACGTGGGATGATATGTGGGTCATATGAGAGTACCTGGTATGGGGTGGATACAGACACCAAAAATTGCTCTGATTTTCATTACCCACGATGTGGTACACCTGACCCTCGGTATACCAAAATCCGAAAATCAGACACCTTGTTTCTACCTATCTGATCACGATGTGATATTGGGTACATGTCCCTCTTTGTTGTCTCCCCATCCCCATTTGCTTGAAATATTGTCGGAAAAAAAAGGGCCCCCTGACCTTCTCGAATCGCTGGATACTGTGCAGAACCGATATGGCATCTGTCTATTGGGACATCGTGTTTGCCCCCATATCAGCATATATGCCCTACTGTCTGTGTTGTGCTGAGGAATTCCTCGGAGATTGGTGGCGTTAGATCCTGCGCCATGAACACGTCTGAATGACGTAACACACACAAAACACACACACACACACACACACACACACACACACACACACACACACGCACACATATCTGTAGCACTGAATATTTCGACGTTCCTGTGGAACATTCCATCGATTTTGCTCATCCTTTCGATGGAAGTTGCGCGAGGCCAGCCGCGGCCTCGCGTAACTTCCATCGAGAGGATGAGCAAAATCTCTCTCTCTCTCTCTCTCTCTCTCTCTCTCTCTCTCTCTCTCTCTCTC